ACTTGACTGAATATTATAAAAAACAATAAAACAAAGAAAATGCTAATCAAAAATTAAAAATGGAAATAATTTTAGATTAAACATTTTTACTTTGATCATCTTATTACTAGTTTTACTCCATTTTTTAATCACTGAATTTTATAATGGCAAAAATACTTCATGTAAAAAAAAAGAAAAGTAACTCAAAATAACACTATTATTATAAAGTAGTAATACAAAAATGACATGAAGAGGATGGAGGTAACAGAATAACTTATGCCCTACTTAATATTCAAAACTTCCATGATCCAAATGGTTATGATGACATCCATGAGAGAGTGGTTCACAGGATATGGAATGTGAGTCCGTCTTTTTTAAAAGTTACTTTTTTATTTCCAATGAGTGCACAAGCAATTAAAGAGTTTATTGCCCTGTGGTGTTGTAATAAAAGGCAACAATAAGATGGGGTAAAACTAGTAATAAAATAATAGTAATGTTATATTCCATACTAATAGGAATATATATTTGAAAAAAAAGGTAGATAAAATAAGTAAAGGTTTATTGTAAAAAACCAGTACAATAAGAATAAAGGTAATAGTTATGCATAAGGTCATCACAAGTCAATCCAGTAGTGAGTGCTACTATTGGAAGGTCGGTAGTTTTTGCATAAGTCTGAGTCGTATTCAGCAGATCCCAGCTAGATGATATTAAAAATACAATTATGGCACTGATGTTAGTAGGATCTGTCCAACCCTCAAAAAAGATGCTGGGCTAAATCAAGAGGCTCTCTCGCTAAGAGAGAGGGAAAGGTGAAAATATATATGGACATGGGAAATATATAAAGCTAACTAGGTTGAGATGAAAGGGGTCCAAAACAAACTGGGGAGATTGGTTATGATCCAAGTTGAGATTCCCAAAGATGTAACCGGGAGCAGGCCAGGAACAACACTTACATTAACTAAGTACACAAAAGTTTGTCTAGCCTAACCAGGGGAGGGCTCCACGGGAAACCACCTCGATGTGATATAGGTTGACCTAAAAGAGAAAATCAAGGCTAGCCCTGTTCAAACGAACCAAGCTTGCTTCAGTCACCCACCTTTCGCTAAAGTCTGTCGAATGCAAGCGTTTTCTATCAATTCTAATCTTCATCTTGAGCTGATGCTCAAAGAATCGGTTCAGAATATGGGTGCAACACATTGTCACCAATGAGCACAAGCTTTTCAGGAGCAATACAAGTCATCAGCTTATTGACATAGTCCCATAAGGGGTGGAGGACAATGGTAGAATGGTCACGTCGTTCAGTCTGGCAAATCCACTAAGCCCCATATGAAGGCCATGTCATTGAGAGGCAGCCTATTCCAAGCTAGTCGCCAGGTAAGTGAAAACTCAGAGTTACTGAGGTAATCTGCTGCTGGCACCCAAGACCAGAAGGAGCGAAACTCCTCCGACAAGTTGAGCCATTCACATAGAGGATCCTTCGCTTTCCCCTCCACTAGATAACGATAGAAGACCCTCCTAGGCTGAGAAAGGTCACTAGACCAAGGAATGACCTTCAAGGCCTATCGACACTCACGAAGAAAACTTGATAGAGTCTGCTGCTTATGACTGTGCCCAGCCCACAAGATGGGGAGATTGATGTTAAGGCAAGGGAAGGCATCACTTACAATCCTTGCCATAATCAAATCTGTCAACGCATGGTGTAGGAAAACCAACCTCGAGGCTTGTGACTTGCCAAGTGTGACATTCCCAGCTCTCCATGTAATCGACATTGTACACAGACTTCTCTGTCAATCTGATGCTTGTGTCCCCTCCACAAAATGGAGGATAGTGAGCATTTGAGCAGCTTCTTATGATCTTTACAGAGAGGAAGTATGGACAAGCAATAAAGGACAAGTAGAAAGACAAGTGGCACACACCTCTGCCCTGCCCTTCACAGACAATCTCCTTTGACGCCAAGTCTCACCGGCTGTGTCAACCTTTGCTTGTACTTCTGACCAGTTTTTCTCCAGCTAGAGGTTGGATCCAAACTAAACTTCAAGAATGGGGACAGGACTGTCCATCTAACCAAAGGGCCCGAGAAGATTGACCCCCTTTCAGGCACCTAGCCACAAGCCGGAAGACTTGCCATAGTTAATCCTGGCCCATTACCTTTTCGTACTAATCAAGCAACTTCGGTACCACCTCAATATTACTGTAGCATGACATGAAAGTAGATATGTCGTTCATCGGTGTACGCAGAAACCCTGGCACAAGCCCCTCCAGGGACAGTGATTCCACGTAGGGCCAGACTGCATGCCCTGTCCCTTAGCTGGCAAACGAGAGACTCCAATGCCAAAGCATAAAGTAGGGATGACAGTGGACAACCCTGACGAACTGACCAAGATAAGCATGAAAGCACCCGACAGCTTCCTGTTCACCTGTACCACAGCAGTGGGTGAGTGATACAGGAGGCTAATCCAGCAGCAGAAGTCAGGTTTCAATCTGGCAGTCTGCAGGACAGCAGCAAGGTAGCAATGGTCAACCCTATGAAATGCCTTGACTGATCTAAATTGATCAGCACGGCTTGCTCGTTGTCTTTTACACCCTCTATGATTGTGCGGATCGGATGCAAGTTGCTCTGAATTGTTCGGCTCAACAGAGACTCGGCAACTGACTGCAAACGCTCCTGTAGAGTCTTGGCTAAAATCTTTAACTGTGTTTAGCAGAGTTATGGGCCTATAGTCATCTAAATCCCGCCCAATATCCTTGCCCTTTTTCAACAGTGTGATCACACCCCTGGTGAACCAGTCAGGGATGGACTCCTACCAGAACCAGTTGTTGTACACAACAGTCAAAATTAGGACAAAGATGTACAACAGCCTCAAGTACAATTTATTGAGCACTGGGTGACTTGCCTCTGCTGACCTTCTTCAATCCGATGTAGACGTTGTGCTCTGTGATATCTCCCTTGCAGCTAGCTGCTTCAATCGGCGAAAGCTGAGGAAAGTCAACCAAATAGCTATGAAACTCATCGTCCTGGAGACCAGGCTCCTTGGTAAACTGGCTCTCAAAATGCCTCACACATGTTGTCAGTGGCCCGAAGAGTATGTCCCTCTGGGTTTTTTACTTCATGGATGTAATGATCAGAACCCAACAGATCTCTTCCTTGCACAATTCTGCACCCATATTCACAGCTTTGGATGCCATCTTTCTTAACCTATGTCTAATTACCTGGCCCTTGTAGTGCTCACTAGTCAAATGCTCTAGGGCCTCCTTAGCCAAGGTTATCTCTAGGGGATCCCTCTTAGTCACCGCCTGGGAAAAACTATCCTTAAGAGCCTTCATCTTGTTAGATCCCAGCTAGACTCTGTAGTCTGTTGACTTACAGATACTTATAGGTAGTTACTACCTATAGTGTAGTCACTCATAGGAGTGACAGGTTATTCCATTACATCAAGTGATAATGAAAATTGTATTGATCTTGATAAAAAAACAGTAATAATAAGATGGAATAAAACTAATAATAAGATGATAGTAATAATTAAGAGTTTATTGATCTAGAGAGTTGAGATAAAAGGTAACTAGGTTTCTTTTTTTTTTTTTTAATAGGTAGGTCATTGAATTGTTTTAGTCATTAGGAAAAAAATTTCAAATAATTAGTACAAGTTAATTTTTTTTGCAGTGGCTGGTTTGTTGATCCAGTAACTTTGGTTTCGTCAATGTTAATGTAAATGGGGGATAGATAAATATATGCATATCTGCCTGCGTATGTATGTGTATGTACATATATATGTAAGTGTACATGCATGTTTAGCCTAAAATAAAATTTGTACAGAATTTTGTTTGGTTGAGTGCATAAAGTAAATGTAAACTTAAAGATTTATCTTATAGTAAGAATAACAAATAATAATTTTTTTTTTAGAAACAATTTTCTGCTTCTACAAGTGGTGAAGCATAGATGTTAGTACAGGTACATGATAGCTTTGGGTTGGTTATGCATGTAGGTTTAATTAATGGGGTAGTAATGTAATTTGAAACCAAATGAAATATTTGGATTAAACTATACAAGAAAAAGACCAGTTTACAGAATTAGGAATCCAGAGGAAGTTAACTGGAATCAAAACTGGAGAACATAAAAAACACCAGTATATAGGATGTGGGTGTGAAAAGTTTATTTTTTATTGGCTGATGCCGACTGGCGGATTTCAATAAGAACAGTCAGACTCTTGGTTATGTCATTTTTAGGATTTTGCAATGTTGAGGTGCATAGCACAACACTTTCAAGGAGGTGGACTGACACATCCGGAGTCAGGTCAGGGTTGCTGTTTGAGGAAAACCCAAAATCAGCAATGATAACAGTGCATCACTGAAGACCACTCTATGCATCTAAAAAATGTATTATGCAACAAACAATAGTAACATGGAGTAAAACTAGTAATAAAATAATATTAATAATGAAGGATGTATCAACCAAGAGTATAATTTTTTTTGAACCACCAAACTTTAGATAGCTTAGGGCCTCACCAAGTCTGAATTTAGCACTGGTATTAATATATATTTGACACTCATATTTAGTTGTCTATTTGGTACTGTGACATACTAGACACGGATATACTCTGGACAGGCATGAGTGGATTGGGAGCCTAAAACAACCCAGAGAAACATTAGAGAGACCAAGCAGGTTACCAACCTGGGATTTTTTCCCCCCCAACGTCCCAATCTGCCGCTGTTTCATCTGATTGTGATGATGAAGTTGGGCTTTTAGGATCCTTAAAAAAAAAGAATATTATTTGGTGTTATCATGTGTTGTTGTTGTATGAAGCTTATCATTTGTCCCATCAATTACAGTTGTATGGCATCTTTGTTTTTCACTGGCACTGTTGATTCTAAAATTTAAAACTAGTAACTTTATTGGTATTCCATTAATAAATGTATTTTAAGAAGAAAAAATACTGTTAGTCCATTGTAAGCAGTATCACATACATGAAAAAGTTTCAGTGATTTCAATCTGTTTATATATATTTACTTATTTTATTTTATAGCCAGTCAATCTCAGATGAATTACGATGATGTAGATTGTGGTGGAGACAGTGAAAGCATCCCACTCAGGCTTCGTCATTTATTACAGAAGATGCAGACAGACATAGCTTCTGTTATATTACTTTCTGCTGATGATCTGGAGGTAAGTTATGCCTACAATGTCCAGAAAACTTTATTTACTTTTTAGTGGAACTACAGATGTAACAAATGCAAAGGAGAATTTATCACATAAATAATTTATAAAAATAAAATTGTAAATAATTTAAATTTTTAACACATTCACTGCTGCATTTTGGCCTAGCTGTGCTGGCCCATGTTGAGAAAAAATAGGAAATTGCCATTTACTGGTTTAGGCCTGCTATTGGTAAACATATAACCCAATACAACCTGGCATATGGATGGATTTTTGGCATCTAAATCAGCTCCCCTATTGACTTTTCTGCCAGTGAGGAGGGTGGGTGGCATGTCACCTCACAGGATGAAAAAGAAGATCAGTCAAAAGGTGGATGAGCTTCTTAGAGGAGCCAATGGATGACTATATTTATAAGACTAGGAGGAGGGGGTCTTAAGCCTTGAATGCAACCTTCCTAGAGATAGTGTACTTGGACTAAAATGTGTGTCTGAGTTGGGCATCAGGAAGAGCATCCAACCTTATAAAACCTTACCTCAAATCATTGACAAATCCTATCAAGCAGGACCTACCTTGCTTTATACAAGATTAATCCTGGTCCTGCCTCAACAAAAAGACACAGCTATGTATGTATGCTGCCATTTTAGTTTTGACCAGATACTCTGCATTACAAATCTAAACAACACCCCTAACATGCAATATAATAAAAAATATCTATGCTGGTTTGAAAATAGGACTAAATGATAGTTTATAACAGAAACACTGGAGACCAACATTTCATTGGGCTCTTGAAATCATGTATCTATTTTAATAGCAGACAATACAAGCTGAAGATGTACATTTATTTTTAAGTATAACAAATGTACCTGCAAAAATGGGTGTGTCAAAAGGACAGTTTTTCTCTTGACATCACTATTGCTGTATTTTCTGTAAGGATTTTTTTTTATTATTTTAAATTATTTTTAGAATAAGTTGGTTTTATGCATTCTTTTTTTTTCCTTGAGAACTGACAATAAAAATATTAAAAACTATTTATTTATTAGATTGTCTATTTACAACAATAATTTTATATTTATAAGATAATCTATATATAAATGTCAGTGTGTCACAATTTTTCCACTTTACTTCTAGAGGCCGTAGCCCAGATTATTATACCATTTTGAAATCGGGCCAAATCTGGATCCACAGTCCAGAAATTTTGGATTCCTAAGTTTTCATTACGGCAATTGTTTTTGACTATTTTTATATGTGATTTTTTTGTGACAAATGTTTTTGTATGATAACAATTTTTATAATTTGGGGATAATTGAAATGAATTGTGAAATCCAGTGAAAGTCACCCATGAAATAAAAATAATTGTTTGTACAAAAAGTAAGGGCCTACGTACATCAAATTGTCTTTAAATTAAGTGGCGGCAGAAGAATTATGGTTGAACTTTTAAAAGGTAAGCTTAAGTATTAATGCAATACTTAAATGCAGCGATCAATTTTGAGTTCTTCTGTAGTTTATTGTTGCCTATCACATATACTCCTCCTTAACTATTGTGATGAAGTCCCAATCAAGATCTCTCCACAGGAACTGGCTTAAATGCCACCCAATAGGGCAGCTTTTAAACTTGTAAAAACCATGTGAACCAACTACAAGGCAATATTTATTATTTAAAGAAATAACTATGAAAACATTTGTTTTTGATGAATTTATAAAAATGCCTATGAACAAAAAAATTTGCCTCATAAATTCACTAAAATACATACATACTTTCTTTTTCTCAAGAATTGACAACAAAACTATTAAACACTATCTATTGAATAGAGTTTATTTACAAGAATCGTGTTTAGAAACTTTGTTGTCAGTTCCTGTAAAAAAACTTCTTAAAACAATAAAAATTGCTGAGAGAGTATTTAGTAATAGCAGTGTCAAGGTAAACTTTTTTTTGTGGGTATGCTTGTGAAATTTTGCCAAATTTCCTTCCTTTGAACAGTTACATAAAATAGAGTTATATACAGATACAATAAGTTTGTTTTTGGTTTAACAAATTAGTTCAATTTTGACATTGTACTTAATGCAGCTGCCTACAAACAAGAAAAATAAGAAAATAATTGTAAATTGTCTTATTGAAAAATTGAAACAAAATGATACCTTTATAAACAATGGGAATATGAATATCTTATTTTAAAAAGTAGCCTGTAAAATCACATCATAAATTTGTTTATTCCTCCCTTAGTTAGCACATGCATTACACCCTGCCATCACTTCAGATAAATAATGGAAAATTCCATTTTGATTATGAAGAAAGAGAAGATAAGAGAAATACTAATTCTCTCATGCATTTAACATGTGCTTTGGTGAAATGGAAAAACGTGCCAGTTTAAAGTTGTTAAGCTCAAATATTTAATGCTGCAACAGAGGAATTTCCACGGATATTTTATTGTTGTAGAACTCACAAGGAACTTATTTAATCATTAAAATAAGAATTATAATTCATCCTAAAATTCAAATAGGAAAATTGTGAAATTTTCACTGGTATTGATAATATTAATAAAGTAGCTTTGTTACAATTACAATGTTCTAGTCAAAATCTCCTATGGCCTTCTTTAGGTGTCTGTTAGTTTAGGTAATCTTCAAGGAATTTAAAACTGAATCCTTTATTCAGTCTACAGAGGTAGATTGTTTTTGTTCCACTGCCTATGTCAGGATATTTTGGTTTATATATACATATATGTTGTAACCTAGAAAAGGTTACTGAATGTGGAATAACCAAAATGGAAGTTGGAAATGAAATGGTAATCTTTATGACATCAAGAAAATACAATACTTGTCAGCGGCATGAAGTAGGTAAACCACTGCTAGTGGTGGCCTACTTAGACAGCATATTACCTGCACTTACAATAGTGACCAACATATTTATAAGGATTGGGACATACCCATTAGTGTTCATAGGTACAGTATATAACAAATATATATATATATATATATATATATATATATATATATATATATATATATATATATATTGTTGGTTAAAATAAGCCTATTCCCCATATGAGGTAATTTTGGATTTTATTGGGTACTAATTATTTGCTCTGTAATAATAAATACATTGAGCTCTATTTTGTGATCATTTTTAATACTTTATATTATTAGGATCCACTTGGATTATATACCAATGGATTTATTACCTTTACTATATATATATATATATATATATATATATATATATATATATATATATAAAAAATGGCATAGTAAAATCTTATGATAAAGGGGAGAAAATAAATCAGTAATCAGGATTTTATTTTTGCACCAACTCTATTTGAACCTAGTGTGGCCCAATCAAGATGTTTTTTTGTTTTTATCAGTGTACTTCAGGCCTCCTCTTTTAATTTTAGTGTTTTTTTTTGTTTTTTTGGGAGTTGGGGAAAAACAAAAAGCAATAAATTTTGCAATTTTTTATGTAAAATTAGATATTTATTATTATGCCATTTTTTCGTTATTCAATCAAATCAAGCTGTGAAATTTGTTAATCAAACTAGCAATCAATAATAAGTCATCAGGATCATATTATGTCTTAAAAGTATAATTTAATTAATAATTTTCTGCCTGATACTTTTTGATGCAACTTTCAGCACTTTTTTACATTATGTATTGAAAATAAGAAAAAATAGAATTGTTAGGGGTCAATAATTAACACAATCATTAGAATAGGGTTATTATATCTATAATGTAAATGCATTGCTAATGACTTTACTATAGAAATGCATTGAAAATTCAAAAGAAAATGTCAGTGTTCAGGAATGAAGGCAAGCAATAATGATATAGATAATGTAAATGCATCATTAATGATTTTATTATAAACAAGGCATTGAAAATCAGGAAAAAGGGGATTGTTAGGAATTAATGTATGGTTTATTGTGAATGTATTACAAATGATTTTCTATAGTATAGGCATAATGTAGATCTATAACAAATGTTAACCTGAATTCTTTTGTTCTGATTGTAGACTGTTTCTAAGATGCCATTAAGTGAGCTTGCCTCTCATCTTTCTGAAAGTGAATTCTTTGCTGAACAAATTCAAGCAGCTTGTCGCAACAGACTGGAAAACATTTATCAGACACAAGATGCCTTGGATCTGCTCAGAATATATCATGCATCACAGCAAAATAGTTTGTTGGTGGAAGAAAGCAGCAAGAAGCGAAAAGCAGAAACCTGAATTTCAGTGTCATTCAAAGCAGTAATTTTGGATTTTATGTTTTTTTTTTATATTGGCCTCATATTCTGATTAAGTATTTCTTTTTCTTTTAGACTTTCAAAAATATTAGTAGTTTTGCTTTTTGTTTGATTTTTTGACAAGTTCTTTATAAAGTCTAAAAATAAAGAAAAATTTATATCAAGAAGTCAATCGTAAATCTTGCTGCAAAAAATTTTATTCTTTTATTTTTTCCTCAATCATATGATTATCAGTTTAAAATAAAGTCACTTCCTTTGATATTTTTGCTTAGAAGTAAAGAATGTGGCTTTTTGCTACTAAAACAGTTCACTAAAAATTTGTTCAGTTCAAATTCACTTTTCTACTTTCAAGGGAAATAACACACATGCACGCCTGAAGCATTCCATGGCTCATATTTAAAACAATTTATTTGAATTTATAAAGTTTTTATAATTTTGTTATTTTAAAGATTTTTGTTTCAAAATTCCGATAATGACATTTTAGAAGTTTAAGAAAATGTATACAGTCTAAAAAACAATTTTTGTTGCATTATCTTAATTGTAAAGCTAGATTTTGTTTTTCATTTTTTTAAATTTATTTTGATAAAATAAAGATATTTATGTTAAAGAAACATTAAAATATATAAATTTTAGACTCAAATAGAGCAATTTGAAACACCTTGTCTATATTCTTAACTCATTTTCTTAAATGCTAACATGACAACCGTTTCTTTTAAATCTCTTCAAATAATAATTCATTATCAAGATTGAATTTTTATAATCATTTAGACTAATTTTTTTTATTTAATTCTAAAAAAAACATACAAATTATTTTTTCATGTGAAATTTATTAAGTTAAAATAGCCTTTCAAATATAAATGTATTTCATCATGATCTTAGCTTTAATAGCTGCAAAACAATTAAATCTTTCCCTATTTTAGATTAAGACAGATTTGGACATTTAATGTCATTTGGTTTTATGTTGAAATTTTATTCTTTGAACAGACTGTATAAAATTAATCTTTTTACAACTATTTTTGTGGAGAAAACAATAGGAAACCACTTCATTGTGTTTTCCAAGAAATCGTGACAATTCATGGATAATAAAAGAGAGTCATGATTGCCTATGTCCTCATTAAGTCTTCTGTGAATTCAACACAAATGTCATGTTCAAAGCTGTTTGACTTGATATAAAAATTGTACACACAAAATGAACTGTTTACATCTAAAAGAACAATGTTATATTTTTATTACATAATTCATAGTATGAATTCTAATCTCATCTTTTCATGAGCTTGAAAGAAAGATGCATTTAACTTGTTTACATAATCTGATTAATATGATAACCTGTTTTGTCTGGAATGATTCACTGTTTTAGAGTTATCTCCATTAGAGTAGTGATTTAGTTTTATATTTATGCTTAATGTCCAGTTATTTGTGCATCCAGAGACACATTGGATGCCAAAAATTTTAAATTTAAATCCAAAGTTAAGCATTCCTGCATTTTCAGGAATACTGTCAATGTATAATTATAATCAACATATTTTGTTCCCTCCCTACATATATTTGATTTCACTAATAAAAACATTAGTCTGAAGAAGTTTTTTAAACACATCACATAGAATATTTTTCCATTTTGTTATTCAATTACTCACCCTTAGTCTGATATACACAGTTTATTTATCATATTATCCCATATTTATGTATCTAAAGACCCATGTGTGGAAATCTAACAATAGTAGGGCCTTAATAAAATATCAGCTTATGGCCATATCACAAAACACCAGTTCCTGTATGATTACTGGTTAAGCAACAATGAACCTGTTTAATATCTAAATGGGTGAGTGCTTGGTAATAACAAGTGCTGTAATCTTGGGTGTGCAGGTGGTGTAATACATAATGACTCAGAATTGTTAATCAGAAATCCGAGTTCCAATTTCAGTTGAGTTTGTTATATTCACTTATGCACAAATACCCTTGGAGAAGGTATGAATCCACCTCTTCTTCCTCCAGCTATGGGTTAATTAATAAAACTTGTATCACTAAAGCCATTATTATTTCCAAAAAAATTGATAATAAAATGCATACAAAATATTTAAATTTCAGCTTTAAATAACCTGTAGGGGTTGATATGCTGCTAAACAAAAACAAACAAATAAAATACATATATTGCCATTATTTTTGACAGCATGGGTAAATTAAGATCGATATGAGATTAGTAGACATTAAGTAGGTCATCCATTTTCTGTATGAATATAATAATTGGAATACAATTACATAAGTGACATTCTTCATTACCTTTATTCTGAAGGAGAAATAGGTTTGTTTATAATTTGAATGTCTCATATGTAGGCATATCTCAATATATAGCCACTGAAATCTTTTAGTAACTTAAAATTGATATTAAAATCAACTAATCATGTATGACAGAAAAGAATTCTGTAAAATGTTGAAGAAAAATTAAACCTGTTAGTAAAATGGTAGTAAAATTTAGTATCAGTTAAAGACAAGGCTAGAGTCAATAAAAATGAAATGGCCAAGAAAACCAAGTCAAATTAGTCAATGTCTTCTTTGTTGGCTAAGGCAATTTGAAAATGAACTTCTTCATATGCAAATATAAGTATTTTTTTTTTGGTCAGTTTGCAATTTGTATTTTGTTTTTTAAGACAATTTTCTTTGAACTTTCTCACAATTCCTGTAGAGTTTTGAGTTAGAATAAGTTTGTCCCTGCTCTTAAAAAAAATGCTTAGACGCTTTTGTTACTTGGTGTTTTAATTCCCTGACAAAAAATGTGTAACCTAATGTGTTTTTGTTAACATATTCTCTGCTACTTGTGTATTTGAATCTTTACATAATGGCATCTATGTTTTTCTAAATTTACTATGAATAATATCACTAGGTGTTCACACTTAAATCTCTAACCAGAGTTTTAAATGGCATAAAAAACTAATGTAAACTGCAATATAGCAAAATAATAATACAACAGTGTTTCACTAGCATAGTACCAATGAAAACTGATATGATTATTTATGTATGGATAAATTATAAAACTGTATATTGGAGAATATGATATATAAATTGTTATATATTAGAACAATGTTCAGCAAATTAAATTAGTGATAAAGTAGAAAACATAAGATAAAAGTGTATAGAAAATGCTTTAATTGCTAGATTATCCACAGTAAATTTGTATCTGGATTCTTACATTTTCAGCATTTCTTTCCTATTCATAGTTATGATCAACATTCACATTTTCATATTCCCCATATCCTTTATACGCATATATAATTATTACATCAGCAAAAACATTACTTCAGTCAGATGAAGTCCTGAAACACATTACATAAAAAACTTTTTCAACTTTGTCATTAATTTGCCTAGCAATTGTATATTGTGAAAAAAAAAATCAAATTTATTATTCTGAGGGCTTTCTCTCTTCATTTATTCTGTTTTTTAATAATTTCAAAACAGTATGGCAATGAAATTGTGAGAGTTTTCATTAAAAAAAATATTTTCTACAAAAAGTGACCAGTTGTTAAATTACACCAATTATAATTTTATATTGATTATATTTTTATAAATATTTTTTTGGAGCCAGACATTGAAGTATTTGTTCAGTAAAGCATCAGTCATCATAGGACGAGACACTTGCACATTGCAAAAAATTAAAGGGTCATATATCGCTCGGACATATGTGGCCCCCACATTAGACCTAACCCTGTGTCCTCTTTGTATTTATTTGCAAAGAAAATTGTATTTGATTGCAAAAATTATATATATATATATGTATGTGTGTGTGTGTGTGTGTGCGCATGTCTTACTTTCTTAAATTACAAATATAATTTTTTTTATAAGTTTGTGAAATCTTTGTTCAGAATAAATCCTATTTTTAAAAGAGTTGTCTTTTATTTAAATTTGTTTAGATAAAACATTACTAATTTCTTTCATTTTAATTTCTTTTGTTTTTAAATGCAACTCTCAGATTTTCATTCCACAGTTGTCCCTCAGCAGCCTTGAACAATCCTCTAATAAAACACAAAAAACCTCACATTTTCTTATTTCCAGGACAGCTGCTTTACTGATTAGGCTATGAAGACCAACCAATTACAGTAATTAAAATTTCAGCAATATAGACTTTATCCATTATTTTTCTCTGGACATTGCTATCTTTGTTTACATGTGAGTATGTATACACAAGTATGTATAATCAAAGAAGATGGTAGCATTCAGAGAATAATAATAATAAAGGCTATGGCTAGGCTTTTAATTACTATAACTGATTGATCTCTGAAGCCTAATCAGTAAGGCAACTGGTATGGAAGGGATGTGAATACAAGTCTCACGAGAGAATTATCTCTTTTCTGATTTGTGTCATTTACTAACAATTGTGGAATGTGAATATGGGAATTGCAACAAAAACCAATTAAAATGAAATTGTTATCTGTTTCCATTTTAATTATCTTGTTTTCTTTTCTTTCATAGAATGTATTGCCAGGACACGTGTGTAATTAGCTTAACCATATAAGCATAGCCAACATGATATAACAAAAGAAATTTTTTTTTTATTTCTGGAGTAATTGATAAGTTATCTTCTAAGAAGTTTTCTTTCTCCTGGGCTTTCTTATTCTAACAATGACCATTCATAAATGATAACAAGGAAAAGAAACTAATGAATGTCATGGAAGAAGATATTTTCTCATAATTTTTTTATCATTTCACTCCAAGCATGGCAATGGGTTACTGAGTTTTAGAGAATATGAAAAAAATATACTGCTAAGGAGAGAAGACAATAAAAGAACAAGAATTAAGAAGACAGAAAATAATGATTGATGCAGCATTTAAATTTTTGAAGATCAAACTTGACTGAAAAGCAAGAAGCCAGAAGAGAGTTCCACTAGTGAGAAGTGTGAGAGAAGAAACTGTTAGCATAGAACTTATGGTTACATCTAGCAGCCATTTGAACTATAAAATGAAGAGACCTTGCTGCCAATATAGCACTGTGCT